ACTACACTCAACCTCCACAATCATCTGCTGAGAATTTCTCTTGGGTCATCAAATTGAACAAGAATGATTTGATATTATCGTTGATCTCAGCAAAAGTTCTGAGAGGAATATGAAAATTCGGATGTTAGAATCATAGAAGAATCGTGAAAGGCGTATTTTTAAACCATTCTTTTATCGAAATATTCGACTACGTTTCTGCGTGTGTTAGATTTCATCAAATTTATTTACAGGAAGCTTGACGCATCTGACTCTTGAAAATCATTGAATTATCTGATAGCCTTCTAGGTTTTAAACTAGCTAAATGAGCTCTACCTGGTTGGTGTCTCTTGACTAAGCTTGGCAAGTACGAGTTTTCTCGAGTACGAACACGTACTCGTACTTTCACGGCTTTGTCTTGATGATTCATGGTGAATGAAAATGGCGTGTCTTTGAAACTTATAAGATATTCACATTATTTGCACATGGCAAACAGTAAGTTTTGCTTTCTGTCGAATACAAACACAACAACTATCATTACAAGGCTGTACTTCTCCTTAGTCACTATAAGCAGGTGCACATTGTGTCGTTCTGTTGTGTTATGATAGCAGCCATGTGGTCTACTTTGTTGATTGTAGGAGTTGTATTCTTTATTCTTTATCGTCTCATCAGATTCTGGATATTTTATCCATGGTATATTCAAAGAGATTTACGAAATCAAGGCATTCCGGGAAAGTACATACCTATAGTTGGCGACCTATTTGGTTATCGTCGAGCCTATCTTGCCGATGATCCTCTCTCTTATGCTAAAGAGATGGCGGCAAAATATGGAGATTACTATTATTCTTCATTTGGTCCGTTACCTTGTCTCAATGTCAGCGACCCATCATTGATCGAAGATGTATTAAAGACGAACGCACGTGCCTACCATCGGGCTACTCTTGGGCGAGAAATTCTTTCAGCGTTGCTCGGTTATGAAAATATCCTTTTGGCTGAAGGCGAAAATCATGCGCGTCATCGGCGACTTGCTGCTCCTGTCTTCCAACAACAAAATATAAATTCTATGATTCCACTTATGGCTGAGAGAATATCGAGTTTTCTCAATAAATGGACAGCAGCGATTGATGATAAAAAACAACCGATAACTTATGACATTCACGAAGAGATAACAAATCTTTCATTGGATATTGTAACTGGATGTGTGTTCGGAACCGAATTAATTAACGATCAACATGTGCATGAAATAATCTTCCAATGTGTTACAATAGCGATGAAAGAATTAGAAAAGCGCATGTTCAACATGATCGTCATTCTGCCGATCGTCAATCAATTACCGATACTAGGCAAACCGCGCATTGATCAAGCAAAAGAAGAAATCAGGCATATTGTTCAACAGATCATAGACCAACGAAAAAAGGGCTTGACGAAATCGGCTTGTAAAGGTTTGAATATAATTTCTTTTCTTTACTATCTTGTATTTAAAACTATAGGACCTGATTTGCTTGATTTAATGTTGACGTCGCGTGGCGATGAGAAAACACAGAAGTATACTGATGAAGAAGTTTCTGATGAGGCAATTACTTTTGGTAAGTAGTTTTGAAACCGTCTATGAGTCACCAAACATGTGTTTTGAGAAAACAAATAATTGTAGGATTTGATAATTATTTTTGTAGATGAATTAATGAAAATCACGCGAGATTTCCCATTATGTCCAAGCATTGGACGTTTCCAATGAAATCTTCTAAAATACCGAATTTCTCATCAGTTCAAATTAATAGTTGTTTTGAAAAACTTGACACACGTTCAAGGGTGTCGACAGAATTTTCACCATCAACTAATGAAGTTTGAAAAGGGACTTATATTTGAAGAGTCTTTTATTGTGTTTTCTATAGAAAGTCACTACTAGGATCTTCTAGAATAAATGGGTCTTTGATATCCAGAAGGTCTAGTACAGACATACAGAGTTTATATGAAACATGTTTCATCATCTAGTACTTGCTGGGCATGAGACGACATCGACTTTGATGATTTGGACCCTTTACAATTTGGTAAACAATCCTGATGTGTACCGACAATGTCAAGCTGAAGTCGATTCAGTATTGAATAACAATGATGAAATAACAGTATCAACTGTTTCGCTGCTTACTTATATGGAAGCGGTGCTAAAAGAAACACTTCGATATCATCAACCTGTGCCTGTACTAGTTCGTACAGCAACTGAAGACAACACTCTTGTAGCTCGAGACGGAAAACATATTCATATTAAAAAAGGAACAAGTGTCGTCATCAATCTGCATGTTCTTCATCGGTAAGAAAATTGTTGACTTTCATGATTCATTTCTTTCATTTTGCTTCATGCATAACAAATAGTTCTGAAAAATATTGGCATGAACCAGAAAAGTTCGATCCATTGAGATTCAATGGGCGCCATTCAGATATATTATTGCCGTTTGGAGGAGGACCTCGTGCATGTATCGGACAGAATTTCGCTATGTTGGAAACAAAAATAATGTTGGCATTGCTTGTACGACGATTTCATTTTGAGCTTGTGCCTGGTCAGAAACATGTTCCAGATATTGCTGTCACAATCAGGTGAGTCATTTTCCATTCTTGAATATTTCGTTACTTATATGAAGATGCCTCTTAAGACCCAAATATGGCATGTGGATGCGAATTTCCCGACGATGACAACAAGTTCATTTCTATTGAAACACTGCACATTGCTATTATCATGCTATTATTATTCGTTTTTTTTTGTGTAAGATATCGAAAATCAGAACTTGATTATTTGTCATTTTGATTTGTCCTGTGTGTGATTTTTAATAAATGTTTACTACTCATCGACTTGTCAAGTTTGTAAGAGCAACACACTGAAGAGCTTAACTTTTTGCTGCCAAGAACGCAAAAAGCAGTTGTATTCAAGCAATGAATGGTAACTTGAAAAGTTGAGTCGATATGGTTTCGAAAGGGTGAAATTGTGGCTAAAGTTTCCTATATTCGAATGATCAACTGACTGCTATCATAAAGTTTTTCTTGAACGCAACAGATTTTGTCGAAATTGAGATGCTTTTATAACTTGTACTGTTTTCCTTGTTTATGTAGCTTTTAAAAGTGGAAGTCTGGGTGGGTGTGGACGTGACTGTTAGATAGAATACATAACATCCATTTCCACATCCAAACTCAGACCCACGAAATTAACTAAATCTATTTTAAAATTTTTACTCGAGAAGTTTGTTGAACATGTGAGCAATCCAGAGAATAAGCTATCATTAAAATCAGTTTTATAAATCGATTTTACCAAGATCATTATGATGTTTAGAATGCTATTCATCTCGTTAATTTAGTATTGTTTTTTTTTCTCAAATATTGACACAGTTACTATAATGCAATACAAAAAATATCGGACTCCATTTCGTAGATT